GTGTGTGTGTATGTATGTGTGTGTGTGTGTGTGTGTGTGGTGTGTATGTATGTATGTATGTACGTGTGTGTATGTATGTGCGGATACAAATTTTTCGTCGACGATTTCGGGAACACGGATCAACCGATTTGAATAATTCAAAAAACATTCGATTCGTATTGATAAGGAGACGTGCTGATTAGTTTTTGGCGAAGGCAGGTCCAGCCGTTCCAAAGATACGGGGCAAAAAGTGCCGAAAACGGTAACTCAGTTTTTAAGAGAACGGAGCGTCCGATTTTAATAATTCAAAAAACATTTGACTTGTATTGACAAGATAAAGAATTGATCAAATTTTCATGAGGGCAGGTCTAGCGGTTTCGGAGATCTAACAAAAAAAGTAAAAAAAAATGCCATTTGGCGGTCAAAAATGATCATTAGACATTAGACATATGCACATCAAATCATCAGATATTTTATAGAGATTTTAACAATAAGTATAAATTTTGTTTGCATTCCTATGGGTTCCGTAACAATATTTATTCGTTAGACGGCGACGCGCCGCTTACGCGCTTTGACATTTTGTCTCTATGCAGGTTAAAGCAGTACGATTGCTTTGAAAAAAGATCTTCCAAAATATGCCAAAATAAAGAAGAAAACGTTATTTTTTCCAAAAAAAATTTGAAAAAAAAAAAAAAAAATAGATTTTTTTTTGAAAAAATTTTTTTTCAAAAAAAAGTAATTTTTTGTTTAATTTATAGTTTCTCAAAAATCTTATTTTTTCGAAGTAAATTTGTTTTAAAAATGTCAATCGTTTTTAAAAAAATAATAATTTTTGGTACGGGAAGTTCCAGCAATTTGCCTTAAGGCACGATGCATTAATTGCCTTAAGACAGAATTCCACTTACAGCTAGTTAAATATTCAAATCGCTTTATCCGTGTTCCCGAAATCGTCAACGAAAATTTGTATCCGCACACACATACATACACGCACACACACACGCACACATACATCCATTATTTCTAAGGTATGCCGAAATATTCAGAAACCTCTGAAACGTAGAGGTATATAAAAATTTTCATTTTCGATTTTTTTGCGATTACTATAACTTGCCCTACGGGAAGTTTATAATACATATAAATGTCTTATATACAAAATTTTTATATACGGGTATAAGTCGAGATACTTCTCCTAAATTATTATTCGGATTTTGATAAATCTTTCTGAAGTTAGTTAAGGGAATTTTTTAGGATTTATGTGATTATAAACTATAATTAATATTGATATAATATGAATATGTAATATTGTACAAATAGTGAGAAAAAATTGCCAAAATACGGCATGTTATTGTTTGACATTGAAAATATTTTGACAAATGACAACTGCTAATAATTCCAATTCACTTATGAGTCTAGATAATATTAGAATATAATATATTCATGGTCATGAATAAGAAAAATGCAATGTCTCCATTATTATTGCCGAAAAGCATCTAAGATGTGCAAAAAATTAAAATAATATAAGATACAGTATAAGGTTTGGCAGATGCAATTATATAATTTAATTTGACATTTTATTTTCTAACTAATGCAATCGTATTCAGCCTTACTTTACCAAATCACAATACAAAAAAAAATACTTATTCAAAAAATTATTAAGAAGTTTCATTGTGTCAAAAATTCATTTGTTTGGCATTGGTTATGAAATATTTAGTTAGTTGATCGTAGATTGAATAGTGCACAATAAGTGTATATATATAAACAGGATTGGATTTGACAATTTGATATTATTATAGCAATTATTTTGGTGAAAAATTCAAATAATATAAATAATTTTCAAACATACAAATGTCGCTACAACCAAAATCTTCCTATAGTAAGTACATAAGGCTATAGTATATAGTTTTTCCTTTCCCCTGTTTCCTGATTGAGTAGGATCAACAATTAATCTCGTTACAAGTCAAATCTGATCTCTAATCTTCCTCAAGTAATCCTAAACCAACCCAACACATTGATAGCATATACTAACTGCTATCCTTCTACAAAATCTGATCTTCTGTTACATTTCTCCCATTGAAATCGGAATCCGACGCCAACCGAGATTTGAATACTCTAGGAATATGTCATGTATAATGTTTGTATTCGAGGATTTGCGGATTCCAATTGTTGGAATTGCTTATGTGGAATTTGAGATACAAGAGTGACTGTAATTATTAACTAGGTGTAAGTGACATTAAGCCCCCATGTATGTTCCATAAACTGCACGAGATGTGTGAATAATCGACCTAATATGGATTGATCTAATATGGATTGATATAAAAATTTCAACTGTTTAGTTCGAAAATAAATTTAACTAGTTGTGTATAGCATCGTGCCTCAAGGCAAATTGCTGGAACTTCCCGTACCGTAGTGAAATATTCGAGAAATTTTAAACGTTTTCAAATATATTGGGTTGGGAAAAAAGAAATCCATTATTTTTACGTGAACTACAAGACTTTATTTAACATGTTTTGCATTGTCCGATTTAGGTCAAATTTGCACCATTTTGTTCTATAATTTGTTGCCATTTTAATGGTAGCTTCATTATGCCTCTCTCATAAAAGTCTTGGTCCTTATTAGCGAAAAACTCCAGCAATTGGAGCTACGGATTTGCTATGTCCTTCTCCTGGCTCTAAACTACCTTCCTGCCAATTTTCAGCTAAATCGGTTCAGTCGTTCGTGAGTTATAAGTGTTCTAACTAACACGATCCTCTTATATATATATATATATATATATATATATATATATATATATATATATATATATATATATATATATATATATATATAGAAGATATGAAAATAAGCTTTACTCATTGTTTTTATTTTTTGTTTCAGACTGAAATCGAAGACTCTGCTTGGAATTTGTGCTCAAAAATTTACTTGTAAAATATAAAAATGAACAAAGGATTTATTTTACTCACGGATCGATAATAAAAACATTATTTAATAATAACAGTTTTTAACACTCTTTTTTAAAATTTAAAATTAAAAAAAAAATTAAACAAGAATGAAAGTGATTTTTAAAAACTGATTTGAACTGTGAAAAAAAAATGATGTGTGAAGCTGTAGTTTGCAGGAAATATATAAAAATGAAAATTATTTATATAAAATATATTACAGATAAAATAGTTTTATGAAAATTGTGAAAAAAAACGTGAAATTGTGTTAAAAATTAATTATCACACGACTAAAACTTTAAGTGATTTTTTAAACTAAATTCTTGTGTACTAACTAAAGTTATTTTAGTTTTAGCAATTTTAATAATATTTATTTACTTGTGCTTAATAATAAACTTAAAATCAAAGTGCTTTTAATATTTTCATAAATTATTTTAAATATTATTTTAATAATTAGAACCTAGTTACATAAAAGTCTCTTGCAAAAGTGTTTCAAAAATATTTGTTTTTAATTATTTATAAAATTATTTTGTTAAACTTTTACAAAAATTTGTTAAAAAGTTATAAAACAACATTTGTCATGAGTTACCCCAAAAAACTGCGTTCTGAAAAACCATTTGCTTACAAAAACTCGCATTAAACTGTTCACGGTATAACTCTAGGTGTTCCTCAAGGATCTTAACGCGGGCCAATTTTTGACATATAAAACGCGAAAAACAAACGAATAAACAGTGAATATTATAAAAACTGGTGTATGAGTGTATTAAGTGTACATTAAATCATCAAAAAGTGTGTTAAATTTTTTTTCAAGTGTGTTAAACAATTAAGAAAGCGTAACTCAAAATTTTACAAGTGGGTGTTTTGTCTTTTCAAAATGAGTTTCTTCAGTTCCCTTCAACAATATGTTGCCAGTGGCGTCGCAGGATTGGGTTTAAGCCCCAGAAGGTTTTCTTTGAGTCGACAAGATTCCACAGAAGGTGAAAAAACTTCTGGAAGTCCTGGAAGTCGGAGTGGGTCTACTGGAAGTGCGCACGCCCATGTACAAGGTAATAAAAAATAGTGTTGAATTTGAATTGAATGAACAATTTATTTTTATTATTTAATGTGAATTAGTGTATAAATCAATAATGCACTTGACTTTTGAATTTGTAATTAATAGAATTAATGAGGGAAATATTCATTTATTTTTAGTAAACAAAATTTTCATTTACATCTCGTAATGATGCGACACGGAATTCCGAACAAATAGACGAAAACCGTTCTAGTTTGTTTTCTACATCCTTGAATTGCAATTTGATTGCGAATCTAAATAACAAACTGTCGTATATTATATATAGTATATACACCAATGTATATATATATATATATATATATATATACCTGTGCAAATAGTTTCGATTTTATTCCAACTATGCCGCAAACGCAAACTAAATTGACTACAAACTAAGTTGAAACTGTAAACATGAATTTCTCTGATACTGGGAAATAATTTACATTTGATAATTGTAGTTGATAAAATAGTTTATTTGGTATATGGAAAAGTAACTAGTGGTGTATAGAATATGTTTATTCTTATGCAAAACAAACTGTACGTAAATTGAATGGGCAAAGCCACTCTGTTTAAATGAGAATTTTGTGGTTGGGTTTTGGGGAAAAATTGTTTTGAGGGAAAATTCACTGGAACATTGTATATTATTATGTTTAGTTAGAAAGTTTATGAAATTTTCTATAAACGTGCGTTTTTAGATTTTTTGGTTTTGGAACAAAATTTTTCGTAAAAGTTATCCAAACTTCACACTTCAATGTTATTCATACAGCCCTCGCGCTTATACTTTTATACGTTTGTGTTATTTTATTAATAATATTATTTAATATTTTTATGTTTTTTATATATTTTTAAAATGCTTATAAATTTGTCTATGAGTGTGTATTTTTAGATTTGTTAGTTTTGAAACAAAATTTTTGACAAAAAGTGATCAAACTTTGCAATTCAATATAATGCTATATAGTTTTTTCGTTGGCACTTTTTTGGGATTGTGTTATTATATAAATAATATTATTAAATATTATCATATTATATGCATAAGACTACATTTTTAGATCGTTTAATTTTGGAACAAAATTTTTGTTAAAAATTATCCAAACTTTGCAATTTAGTATTATGCATATAGCTTTGTAGGTTACACATTTTTTTTGCGTTTGTGTTATTTTATTGATTATATTATTCAATATTATCATACAATTAAATATTATTAGAAAGCTTATAAATTCATCAATTAAACTACAATCACAGTTTTGAAAAACAAAATTGTTAACAAACATTAGCTAAACTTGTGACATACTCATTATCTTATTACTTTGCAATTCAATATTATCCATGCAGCTTTTTCGAATGCACTTTTCTTCGTTTGTATTTTTTTATAACTGTTATTATTAAATATTAGCATACTATTATATATTTTTGAAATGCTTATATATTCATTTATAAATGTGCATTTTTAGTTTTTTTAGTTTTGGAACAAAATTTCTAATAAAAATTATCCAAACTTTGTAGTTCAATATAATCCATACAACCCTCGCGCTTATACTTTTCTACGTTTGTGTTATTTTATTTATAATATTATTAAATATTAATATGCTATTAAATATTTTTAGAATGTTCATACATTTGTTCATAAGACTACATTCTTAGATTTTTGGGTTTTGGAACAAAATTTTTGGTAAAAATTAATCAAACTTTGCAATTTAGTATTATGCATATAGCTTTGTCGGTTGCACTTTCTTAGGTTTGCGTTATTTTAATAGTAATATTATGAAATATTAGCATGTTATTGAAGATTTTTGAAAAGCTTACAAATTTGTTTATAAATGTACATTTTTAGATTTTTTAATTTAATTGTCTAAACTTTAAAATTCATAAAAATCTATACAGCCCTCGCGCTTCCACTTTTCCACGTTTGCGTAATTTTATAAATAATATTAATAAACAACAATATACAATTTTAATTTATTAAAAAGCTTATAAATTTAGCAATTCAACAGCATTTACAGTTTCAAAACATTTGGAACAAATTTTTCAATAATAATTAGCTAAACTTTGAAATTAATAAAAATCCATACAGTCCTCGCGCTTACAATTCTCCACTTTGCGTAATTTATAAATAATATTAATAAATACTATTAAAATACTCAAATAAATATTATTAAAAAGCTAATAAATTTAGCAATTATACAGAATTTACAGTTTAAAAAATTTTGGAACAAAATTTTTAATAATAACAATCTACACCTGGAAATTCATTCAGCCCTCGCGCTTACACTTTTCCACGTTTGCATTATTTGATAAATAATATTATTGAATATTAATATAAAATTAAATATTGTTCAAAAGCTTTTAAATTAAGAAATTAAATTGCAATTACAGTTTCAAAAATTTTGGAACAAAATTTTTAATAATACTTGTCTAAACTTTAAATTTTTTTTCCACGTTTGCGTAATTTTATAAATAATATTATTGGATATTAATATACAATTAAATGTTATTAAAAAGCTTATAAATCTAGAAATCACACAATATTTACATTTTCAAAACTTTTGGAACAAAATGTCTAAACTTTGAAATTCATTAAAATCCATACAGCTTTTGTGCTTACACTCTTCTACGTTTGCATTATTTTATAAATACTATTATTAAATATTAACATCCTAATAAATATTTCTGAAAAGCTTATAAATTTATTTATAAACGTACATATTTAGATTTGCTACTCTTGGAACAAAATATTTATTAAAATTATAATTTATACGCGAACAATTTTATCCAAAGCAAAACCACTTAAACATTTATCTCCTTGTATAAATAATATACATATAAAAATATATTAATTCTAACAAAAAAATATATATTAATTTTTTCTAAAATATTTCTGATTTTGAATAATAATAAAAACCAAACATCGAAAAAAAAATAACAAAATCGGAGATATTTTTGAGAACTTTTCATGCAAAATGTCTTTAATAACTCGACTAATAATACATAGAAATTTTTTGTTTGATTTTTCACACAAAAATATTTAATATTATACTAATTAATAGTTTCATTATTTTTGAAAATTGGGAAAAAACATAAGATATAAGACAATACTCATCTTTGAAAAAAATCTAAGTAAATTTTATACCTAAAATCTAAGTTTATTCAATATCAGAAGTGGGATGAGTTTGTACTAAATATAACTATATTAAAATATTTTTTTTTTCGAAAAGTCAAAGTCCCGCTGTACTTAATATTTTTTTAAAAGACAAAATTTATTTAATAGCAATAAATGAACTCATAAAAATAAACTGTGAGTCTTTATAATTAGAAGTCCCACTAGTCCTTTAGAAACTGCAACGTCACTCGTATGTTATGAACCTGAGTCAGAAAGACCCTGTAATCGTTTTTTGAGAAATACGCCTGATTGCATAGCAACCGCATGGCTCTTATATTTAGCATGGCTAAAAGTCCAAAGACAAATTTTTTCAACACACCCAATAAATTACCCACTTTTCCCATTACTGAGAGACATTTTCTCCTCAAAAAATTCATAAAATCCATGCAGCCCTCGCGCTTACACTTTTCCACGTTTGCGTAATTTTATAAATGATATTAATAAATATTGATATACAATTATATATTATTCAAAAGTTAATAAATTGGGCAATTTAAGTGCATTTACAGTTTTAAAAGTTTTGGAACAAAATTTTTAATAATAATTGTCTAAACCTTGAAATTCATAAAAATCTATACAGCCCTCGCGCTTAGACTTTGTCAAAATTGCATCAAGAGCTCAATCTGCAGTAGTTGGAAATTAGATAAAAAAATGATGTTTTGAATATTTAAATCGTTCCAAAGACTAATTTGTTAACAATCCCAGTAAATCACCCACTTTTCTTATTATCCAGAGCTTTTTTCCACAGTACATTTGCTCCTCAGTAGCTTTTGCGAAAGCTTTATCTGATGTTGAAATGTTGAAATTATTCATGAGCCGGATTATAAATACATTTTACATTGTGTTCCTCGTCCCATGTTAATGGTTGACAAATCCTTAACATTCGGAAGAAGAGCCTTTAATAATTAATGGCTTTCCATGATGACGATAACATCATGTTGTAACAATTGAGAAACAACCCACTCACTGGGAAATTATTATTTTCATGGGAGCGCTTTTGTTTTATTGTGAGGAAAATGGGGTAAATGTCGTTGATGGCTTTTTTAGATGTCGTGAGCATTTTTATAGACTTATTATAAGGTTATTGACATTTAGAAAATTATTCGAATTGTATTAATATAGAAGTACTACAAAAATTAATTCACGATAACTTACTTTCAAAGAAAGTCACCCAAAAACTTTTTCCCATGTTGTTTGAGTTTGAGCAATATTTACGATAAATTTTGTTCCATACTTTGAAAATCTGTAAATGCACATTCATTAACAATTTAATATGCTTTGTATTGAGATATAACAATATATTACATTTTTAACAAATTTTTTGATAAATAACATAAATTTAAAAAGTGACACCAGTAAACCACATCATATATAAATTGATAATGGGTTAGTCCCAAAGTTTAGGTGATGTTTGTCAACAATTTTGTTCTAAAATTTTTGAAACTATGAACGCAGTTCAATTGATAAATTTGTAAGCTTTTTAATAATATTTAATTGTGTATTAATATTTTTTGTTCCAAAATTTCTGAAACTATAAATGTAGCGCTGAATTTATAAGCTATTTTATCATATTTAATTCATTATTAATTTTATTGATAAAATTATGCAAACATGGCAAAGTGTAAGCGCGAGGCCTGTATGAATTTTAGTGATTTTCAAAGTTTAGACAATTATTATTAAAAATTTTGTTCCAAAATTCTTTAAACTGTAAATGCTGTGTGATTGCTAAATGTATAAGCTTTTTTATAACATTTAATTGTATATTAATATTATTTATAAAATAATGCCAATATAGAAAATTCTAATAAAAAGCATGCAAGGATTATATTGAACTGCTA